TTGGGATTATATCTAGTTAATCCAAAGTATGGATTATTTTGAGCGGAACAAAGTTGGGATTATTTCCATCAATTTTTCCAAACCAATTATACAAAATAATCTTAGTTAAGAATTTTATCCCACTTACAGCCTTATTTCATTAAACTATTGATTAGAATTAACTATCGTTAGATTTATTTTCAAAAAAATTAACCACCACCAACCATTTACCCACAACACCACCTCCACCACCACCTTCGCCGAAACCCTAAATCTACCACCTCACCTCATCCGAAACACCGGCACCACGACAACGGGCTAGGTCGTTAGAGGAGAGAGAAGGAGTGAGGTGCTCAGTGTTCGAGTTTGGGTCTGAGAGAGAGAGAGAGAGAGAGGCAGGGTCATGGGTTACGGTTAGAGGAGGATCGGAGCAATTGTCAGGTTGAGTTTAGATCTAGGCGTTGGAGAGGTCAGAGGAGAGACAGAAGGAGGTTCGTGGGTTGTGGTGGGAGGAGTATTGGTATGGGTCGGTCAAGGTCTTGGTCTGGTGGTGGTGTGGTTCTTGGTCTGGTGGGGGGGTGTCAGGTTGAGGTTAGGAAGAAGGTAGATGTGGTGATGGTGGTGGTGGTGGTGAAGAGGAGAGAAAGGGAGGGTCTTTGACGGGTTGGGGGATCTGGCTATTGGGCAGTGGTCGAGGTGGAGTAGCATCACCGGAAAGGGAGATGGTGGTGGGGTTGGTGGAGGTGAGGGTGGCTTGTTTGGTGGTAGGTTTAATTTTTTAGTTTTTTTTTTTTAAATAATAATTAATCTAACCATAGTTAGTTTTAATTAAATATTTAATTTTTATGTTGGTGAACCTTAATTAACTGATTTAATAAAATAAGGTTATAAATGGGATAAAATTCTTAAATAAGGTCATTTTGTATAATTGATTTTTAAGAGGGTCGCCATGTGTGCGTAGCAGAAGTTAGGGGTCATCCTTGAGAATTTTTTTTTTATAATTAAATTAACAAGTATGCGTTATATTTTCTAAATTTACTACTACTATTTTTCCCATTAAAAATGAAGAATTTATAATTTTTTTTCCAAATGGTATATAATTTAAATTAATGTATAGTATCATTTGTATGAATCTGGTGTACAGTAATTTACTGTATATCGGGGGTCACTTTTATCAAATAATTTAGGGTTATTTTTACAATTTTTTGGGTAACGTTTATCAATAAAACATAAATACTTTCTAATTTATGTCAGTGTAACTTTTATTCATATTAGGGTAACTTTTGCTCATTTAAGGTAACTTTATAAAGGTTGTACAATATGTTATTGTACATCCGATTTATTTAAAATTTTGTATTATGTTTTTATGTTTTCTTGATTTTTTAAGAGAATTTGTTGCAAAAATAATACTTCATATTTAAATTACTACTCCGTAGTAGTTTTACGTCCTTTAATAATTACTAGGTTTCTGTAAGCCAATGTCTACAAAAGATTTAAAAAATCTCATGTCAAAAATAAAATATTAACATTTCATGTAATTAAATATTAATGATTTGAAATATTTACAATAATTCCACATATAAGTACAAAATTAGAATATATTTTGACATGTGACAAAAAAGTTCATGTTATTAATTATTGAGAAGGAATTGCATGGTTGTACAAAATTTTTTTATTTATTTTTCTGACAAGAAATTTAAAAAAAATTAAATAAGGATTTATATGGAACCCATGACTCTTAATCAGCGCAATTCAATTGCATGGCATTCAATAAAGTCAAGTCAAGTTCTTTTCACATATTTTTTTGCTTGTACTACCTCCAAATAATTCCACTAATCAATACAGAGTATTCAATACCAATTTCAATTGAATCCAATTCACTGTGTTTTTTGTTTAATCATCCTATTTTGTATAAAGTGTTACATTTTTGCCAAATAGAATAAATTCTATCAATTAAACTTATATAACTAATCATGTACAAAGTATTTAAAGAGAGAACTTCATGATTCGGACATAGACACATCACTTTGACTCCCATCTTCAAGTATAACTTGTATCAGCAACAAAAGTTTATAATAATAATCGCCTAGACCTAGAGTGTTTCAGTTGCCTAATACAAATTCTAGCTAGTGATTATTTATATTTATACATCGCCTTATTAAACTCATGCCGCGAAAATAATTCTATTTTGGCATGAGTTTAATATGGTGATATTGGTCAACAATTACTAGTAATTATTGTTGACTAATTCTTGAGTGATCGAAGAAGTTGGATTGAAAAAAACTAAGCAAGTTCGCACTAGTTAACTAAAGCCACAATCGGCCAACATATATAATATTGGCGGGCGACCTAAAGTACATGACTCTCAAGAGTCAAATTAATGTAGCTCTTGAGTCTTGACCCTAAATATTTAAACTTTACACTATTATACCAACTAAATATATACTTCTTCCGTTTTCTTATACTTGCAACAGTTTGACTTTTACACTATTTATGTACTCTACTTTGACTAGTTTTGACGATTTATAGCTAAGAAAAAATATAGTCATGTGGGATCTTGTTAGATTCGTCTCTATTTATACTATTTTAATATCTAACATTTATAATTTTTACATATTGATAATTAAAGATATAAACGATTGAAATAATACATCGACAAGCGTGAAAAGAGAAGTGTTGCATGTAAATAAAAACAGAAGAAGTATAACTTTTCATATACTTTCAAATTAGTAGGGCCATTTTGTTTACGCAGGCGCTACTCACCCACTCGAATATCAATATAATAATTTTAATTTCATGCATCATAACATTAACTCCACTAGATGCTAGGTCCACAACACCACGTTTATATTCATACTGAAATTAAATAACAATAATAATAATAATACTTCTTAAAAAAATGTGAGTAATAATAATAATAATAATAATAATAATAATAATACAATTAACTACTCTGTACCACTTTCCTTAAATTATTACTACTTTGCTAAAATATATATGATCTTTAATCTCTACAACTTAGCATTCTCTATTGTTCTATAATACTCCAAATTGTTTAATTTGATATTAAAATTATTGGACTTTTATGGTTTGGTTATTATTGGGTATGAAACATTTTACATTTCTATGGTAAGAATAGTAAAAAAGACATTAGGAGATGGAGGATAATTGTACTTTTTATGTCTTTGAAATAACATATAATAGAATTATTATACAATTATTGTAAATTATGTAGCACGTACATATGACAATAGTAATCCAGTCTACTATTTGGTTTTGCTCTACAATACGTAAATGTGTCGAATTTCTCAGTAGATCAGTTGACCAGAGAATGAACATATATCGATAATGATGCAATTGATCTGCCATGTGGTTGACCACCACACCATGCACCGTTTACGTTGATGACTAATAATTACTTTATTTTTTTTTATGCAAATGAACAATAATTTGTCACCTTAAATGAGTTGTTTTTTTTATGCCTTTGTTATTTTAATACTACCTCCAATTTTTTTTAATTATAACTTTGAAGTATTATTTGTGAGATATAAAATATTTCAAAGTTGCAACCTAAAAAAAATCAGAGGTAGTATTAGATTTTGTCATGGTGAAAAACAATAACTTATGGAATAAAAAATGTTGTGGGCCTATCACAAGCCCTCCTAATAAGTAAATGACCATGTAAATGGAGAGCATAAAACAAGTTGTTGATGAAATGTGACATATTGATTATTGGACCATTAAAGAAGTTAAACTGTGCTGAATTGAACCATCAAAGTTGAGTATATTACCTCTGTTTTATATTATTTGTAACGATTTGACATAAAGTACAGAGAAAAAATGTCTAATCGTTGCAAATAATATGAAACGGAGGTAGTATATAATTTGGGAGTAGTTTTATGTGCTACAATGTTGTAATTGGGAGGTGGGAATAGAGAAAGGGTGGTGCATACGATTAAAAAGAAAAGCCAATGAAAGGAGAGGATAAACCTACGTTTAATAATGCCACTCATGCATACTCAAATTATGTACAATAATTTTGCGTGCCTTGTGGACTTTTTGCTCCAAAATTTAGGAACATACGTAAATTTCTTAATAGAAGCATTAATAATGTTAAAAGCTTGTACGTAATAATGTATTGAAAACTAGATAGTTATATCAAGCCATGATTCAATTAGAGGTTAGTTCCAAATTTTTCTAGCTAGTCGTATAGCAATTAAGGAATAAGTGGTCCGTCGTCTTTATTAGGTGCACACAATTGACAAAAAAAAAACGCATTTGTTAGGAGGATTGATATTTCTTTTATTTAAGAAGGTATCACAAATTAAACTCCTGCTAGGCTATTATTTGAAAAATTATCAGAGAAAAATTTATAGCTTTTGGAGAAGTTGTTGCTTTGGAGGGATATTAATTATCTAGACCCAACAATTATATTTTGGGTATTAATATATGTAGCCCTGAGGGCTATGTAATTAACTAATTAATGTTAATTTTTCTTCAATCTTTCCATTTTAAGCTTCTTATACATAGCCATTTTAAGCTTCTTATACAATGTTTATCATTTTCCTTATATTTTTAAGGCGATGCTAGGCCATGAGCTAGCTAGTCGGGTAGCATATTTGTTTGTATGTGATAAAATATCACTACTACATTTTTGATCAAATGCAACGGCTAAAATTAGGCTAATGCAACGGCTACATTGATTACCGTTGCATTAGCATGGTCTAATACATCAGCTGGTTAATAGTAGAGCCTAACACAACGGTTGTGAGTTTGTCGTTGCAATAGAGCGGTCTAACGCCACGGCCATTAGGATTATACCCTTTTTATTACTGTTCCTTTTTTCTTTTCAGGTTCTTCACAAAAAAATAGAAAACCCAGAATTGCTCTCTGCCTCTCTCTCTCCTCAAAATCTTAGAACAATCTGATAACCTCCTTCACTCCTTGTTCGCTGCTCCACCGCTACCGTCGCCGCCGGCTGGCTTCTTCCAATCTTTCGTTCTTCGCTGCCTTACACCTTAGTCCTCACCGGCCTCCTGTAGTCCAGTAGATCGACCGTCGCCCATGACCCGTCGTGCCTCATTGCCTCACAGGATCTCGGCCGTCGTTGCTGCCACAACGTCGGCCGTCTTCGATGCATCAATGGTATGTCTTTATGTCTTATACTCTTAATTAATTAATTTAGTATATCTTGCTCTTATAATCGAAATCCCCAATTTGAAATTTTGATGTTAACCCTATTTTTCAGATTCTAATGTTTCAATTGTAATAATAAACAAGGTCAATTGCTTATTATTCGATTTTAATCCCCAATTTTAATCTTCGATTTTTTGTAGTCTTCTTCTCCTTTCAACCTTTTATCTCTTTCCTCCTAATCTTCACAAAAATCAGGTACCTAATTCTTCCTTATTATTCTCTATTTTGATTTTTTCATGTAATTTTTTTTTTCTTTAAATTTTGATTGTTATATGCAGTGGTTTTTGTTAATTGTATAACTAATTTATAATAATTTTGTTGTCTTGATTGTTATTTGTTAATTTTAATATTCATCAGAATTTTTTGATGAAAGTTGCAGTTTCTGGTATTTTTCGTGATTTACTGTCGAGTTTTGAGTCTATTTGATCAGCTCGTTGTCCTATAGCTTGCGAATTCTATGGGATTATAATGATATAAGTATCTGGATGTCAACACTATACTTATTGGTGGTGCATACCTTAAGTATTTACAGAATCTGTTTCTATGTTCTTTTGTTTGTTTACATTATTTCACAGAAACTCTGAAACAATAGGGATTGATAAATGTTGTAACTGTAAAGGATAATGATATCATCAATATCATTATCCCTTAATTTACTCCTTGATTTACACATAGGTTGATTGTCAAAGATTTCCCTAACTATTGTCTAATAATGTACCTAGACATGTACTCTAATGTATTTAGTCGTAGTCTAATGCTTACATACTTATCTACTATAAATAATCTTGTATACTCTTCAATATAATTAAGATTTCCAATATTCTCTTTCTCATAATTCTATCAATAACTTGGTTTTATGTCCAATGTATTAGTGACTACTGTCCAATAAACTCAATACATTCTTAATTTATTGAGCTTCTTACTTGTCACGTAACTGAGAAATTTTTCTACAAACAAGTGCAAATGAATGTGGTCAATATACTCATACTTAGGGTACCAGCCTCAATATTGACTATTCTGCTGTCTAGCAGCTAGAAGACCAGAGCACCAACATGTAATACTCAGGTAAAGCGGGGTAAAAAACCGAGGACAACCTACAAGAAATGATCTAATGAAACTTACACTAACTAATAGCTACACCTACTCCTAACAACAATATTACTTGAGAAATTCCAAGATATCCCACAATTCCACAAAAAGCTATTGTGGAACAGGGAAAAAAAAACGGCTTTGATTAATTAAGGATGAATTATAAGTATATCCTTTTAAGTTTATTGTTTATTGTTAATAAATTCCTTCTCTCAAGTTTTGTAAATGGATGGAGGGGATTACATTAACAGGTAGATGTAGATTATAGTATAAACTTTAATCAGTTTCAAGTTTTTTCTTTATTCTAATTATCTTTAAACTCTTCTGATCTTTTCTATTTTATAACTGCTACCACTATGAATTTGTTTGCCTACTTTGTCTCCAAGTAGCTTAGAAAAGCTTAATTGCAACATGATAATAAGTTTATAAACTAAGTGACGTTGCATTGTTTACTCCAAACTCATGTCGAGCTATTTATGGTTAACGTCTTTTTATTTATTTAACCAAGGAGTATCTCATTATCTAAATAAGATATAAAAAAAATTACAATTATTCATCTCTTGAAGCTTGGTATGCCCATGGGGTTGCTGAAGTCATTTTGAGTAAGAGGGGAAGGGAGGGAGGTGATTCCCTCATTTGCCTAAAAATTTGTTAGCTTTGATTTGATTCGCACGGTCTAATGTCGATTTTTATTCATTTATGCATGATTTTGTGAATTAATTTGAGTGATAGGTGGTATTGTAATTGACTATGATTTGAGCTAATTTGAATTGGTAGATTGGTTTTGGGAAATTGGGTTTAAAAGTTTATGGTGTAAATCTAGAATGTGATTATAAATTTTTGTTGTAGCCTCCATTGTTATTGTTGTAGTTGTTATTATTGATATCTAGCCTTTAATATTGATATTGTTGTGGGTGTTGTTGTCTCTGCTGCCTACTGTTATGTAAATTGTAAATTATAAATTTTAATAGCCGGAGAGCCACTGAAATTCTTTAGTCAAAAATTATGACATACTTATGCGTCTGTCTTTCTAATGGCCTATTTCTTGTTCTATAGATGATTTACTTTCAGGTCAAATCTAGGATGCTTAAAAATATATGGCCTTTCAATTGAATGCCTTTTATTTTACTACGAATTGTAATTACTTTGTAAATTTTTAATTTTAAGGTGCCCCTTTGTAGGCTACGATGCTTGCATCTGATTTCGGCTAGTTCTTTGTCACATTTCTTTCTAGACCACTTATTTGAGGTAATGCTCTTTCGCAAACATTGTTGTGAATAACTGCATCTTGTAGACTTATAGTACGAAGTGATAAAAGTTAAAAAATAAAGCTAATACTTGGGTAGCAGAACATTGTTTAGTGGTCCGATGCAATTTATATTAGAATTGTTTCCTCTACCGGGTTCTTGTTTGAAGATTTTTCCTGCTGTCAGCGTTGTGTATCATGAGAAAGTTGTGAATATTGAATCTGTTGGCCTTTTGGGTTACTTTAAAAAAAATGTAGTGGAAGACACATGGTTTGTAAAATCTGTTTTCCATTCTATTTAAATAATTATAGTTGATCAGGCCATTCTTGATTCTTGCTACTAATTTTCTTTATGAGTTTGTTTAGAGATATTGGAGTATTGTTAATGTTCGTATTGGATATGAGTTCACAGGGTATGATAATACGAAGATAAAGCTTGACAAAGACAATTTATCACTTTGAAGTACTTTGCTTGGTTTTGTATAATTTTGTTGCATGTATAGTAGTTATCCTACTCAATTCTGATTAAGGTTTTTTTTTTTTTTTTTTTTTTGGTTTATTCTCCTGTTTTATTATCTATATATAAAAAGAGCATTAGGATCTTTGATTTTGTATACATGGCTAACTTTAATTTCAATTGATTTTGGCAAGCTTAAATTGACAAATGTACATAATGAAGCTTGGAAACAGTGACAAGATATATAAACAATAAAAAACAATCTCAGATCGATGTCAAAATGTGACTTCTTTAAGCTTTTGTGCTACTGCAATGTTGGGATGTTTATGTTGGTTGTTATATTGCTTTTAACTATAGGACATCTAGTGCTCTAAATTTGTCTTTATTTTGATCCAAACACCCAATTTTGTTGGTAAAAAATGGTTACAGGGACAGTAGACTTAGTTGTTGTTCTTCTGAAGATATTGCATTCTTGAAAGTCTGTAAAATAGGGGAAATTGATGTGATAGGGAGGGGGGCTGTTTTTACTCGTTGTATGGATAGCTGGGTGCCCTGGTTTATTGTTTTTTAGATGTGTTTGGTGTGTGCCCTCCTTATTTGGCTTATGGTTGCTGTTGGTTGCCGCTTCTGATTTGGTTTTAGTGTTGGATCTGATAGTGGCAGATCAGTAGCTCTGGTTCAGGGTTCTACTTGCTTGCAACCTGTTTTGTGCCTGTTGTGTTTTTGTTTGGTTTTGGGTTGGCTGCTGCCTATATTGGATTCAGGGTGCTGCTGTTGTGGCCTACGGTCTAACATGAGTATTATTGTATAGTTGAATTCTCCGTGCGTTTTGAACTTTTCTCATGTTGATTGTGGCCTTGATCTAGTGTAATTTATAATTTAGTTCTATTATATTTCTATTACTTTATTCTATTTTACGTGTAGGTGCATGGGGAGCTAAATGGAGCTGAAGCATAGTAACTAGCTAGTCATTTAACAAATGGTGCATATATGTTGGCGACTCTTACTCAAGCTCAACTTTGTGAAGATTTGGAAATTCCGGCTTATATATATGTTGAAAATTTGTATTTTGGAGGATTAAATTAATTATATAACTTTTATTTATTATTAGTAGGGTGTCATACAAAAAACAAGCAACTAATATTTTATAATGTACGTATTTAGCATTATAATTATTTTATATAAATTTAATGATATTTTGTTTCTTAGTATATTTAGATTTGTACCGACTATTTATACATATATTATATTACCGTACAATTCAAAAAAAAAAAAAACAAAAAAAAAGGTCAAATGATCAATCCGTTGCAGTAGATATGTACTATATATCATTTGTATTAATCAGCTTCAGCCGTTGCAATAGGTGTCAATTTCATCACAATTTGTAGTAAGTAATCTATTGCAACGGATAATTTATACCGTGGCATTAGGTGTAGAGCTATCGCAACGGATTATAGCTGCCGTGGTATTAGGTGTTGTATACCGTTGCAATAGACCTACTGCAACGCCAGCAAATGCCACGGTACATGGCCGTTGCATTAGGCCTAATGCCACGGAATTTGACGCCTAATGCAACGGATTTAGGGGTTGCAATAGGTCAAAAATGTAGTAGTGTATATAACATAGTCTTGGGCTTCAACCATCAGCTTAATGTATCACCAATTGTGGTTACATGAACGGATTTGAAAATTGTTATATACACTCGGATACAGAATGTAAAAGACACCAATAAGGTTTTTTTTTTTTGCTCATCAATACACACTGCACCTCTCTCTCTCTCTCTCATGTGTGTGTGTGTGTGTGTATATATATATATATATATATATATATATATATATATATATATATATATGAAAATCATCAAAGAAATTTATTTGGAAATCCTTAAATTGAAGAAGTTTTAGCGTGCACTTTTGAGTGATCCAATCATCCAAGTGCTTGTACAGAAAAATGTATACCCTTGCTATTTACAATATTTCATATATGCATGATGCAATCGAAGTATTCTCTTTGCTTAATTTTCTTGCAAATTAAATATTGGAGTCTTTAGGCTTTGGATTGCTTAAAATATGTTAAGTAATGTAAGTATTTTGTTGCAAACAAGATTCACCCATACACATTTTGGTTTGTGACATAATTTTCCAATTATAATAACTAATAAGGCAAAATTAAGAGGCATGTTCCTTGTAATAAGTCCAAGATCAAGACCTACAATATTTTGGAGTAAAAATTAGGGCAAAGCAATAATAGGGAAGTCACTACTTTTATCCTAGTATTGTCTACGGAAAAAAAATTAATGTTTCCTGTCAAAAAAAAATAAAATAAAAAATTCAATGCTTCAAATCAATCTTTGAAGTGATGCTAGAGGGAAGAAGCAAGGATCGATGGACATATCTAGGACAATAAGGCTTCCAAGTTACTTTGAATTAGTATGTGTCATTCGGATTAATATAATAAGAAATCATATTTTCATTGTGTAATACTCTTCATTCATTTGTTTTGTGTAGCTAGATTGAACAATATTTTTGTAGTCTTCTTTTTTTTTTTTTTTTTTTTTTTTTTTTTTTTTTTTTTTGAGGAAGGAATAACATGTATCTCAAGGTAACAACCTAAACAAGGCTACTCTCATGTTGAAGCGACTAGCAAGATTAATACATCTAATGTTTGTAATTTTCTTCAAAAAAAAAAAAAAAAAAGAAAGAAGATTTTTGAAAATTAAGTAGTTGTCTAGATATTTTGTAAAATTCCTAAGGTAAGACTTTTAATTTGTTAATTACATGAAGAATACAAACTATTTTGAACACATACATAAGACAAGGATCACGGGTAAAAATTTGAAACCTACTTCAAATTGAAACCTAATTTTTGCGACTTTAATAGAGAATTTTTTTTATCAAAATACCCATGCAAAGAATAATGAACGATATTTATATTAGTATTAATTAATAGAATTTAGTAGTCCTTAACCCTTATTAGAGCTTATGCTTCTTGAATTAATTGATATGATATGAAATTATCTAAACGTAGTTTTCTTGAAATAAAGGGGAAATTAAGGTGAACCATAATTCTATAAATGCCTTTACTTGATGGGTAAAAAATTTGGAAAAAAAAAAACAATGATTACAATAGTATCGTATTGATAGATGAGACATTTGTATGGACAACATAACAACACTGAATTTTGTTCATTTGCGACCTATATTCAAACTTGTTTAATTAAATTCGAGTTAGACAAGTTTTACACAGTTACATGAGAGAAAATTCTCCTAAAACGTGACATAACATTCTCAATACCCAAACTTAAGATATCTATAAATTAGTTGAAATAATATCTTACCGTTGATTCCAATCAAATTTTAGTTATGCCCTCTATCCCACATAGTTGTGCCCGTATTTCTTTTTAATAGTTATCCCAAAAAATTGTGCTCATTTGTAAATGTTTCGCTTTTGTCATATAATTTTGGACAATTACACCCTTATCTGTAAATTATAATGTCATGCATGTCCTCTCTTTTTCCATAAAGACCCAGGTCATAATTATTAGAGGCGATGTGTTATTTTTGGCTAAACTCTTTTCATATTGGTAAAAAAAAAAGTACTCGCATTTCCTTATTCATCAATGATGAAAAAATACTTTTTTCGCCCACTTTTATTGTAATATATATACTTTGGCTTTTATACTTGTCAATGTATAATTTTATACATCTCAAGTTATATAAGTAAAGAATTATAAAAGTACACAATTACGAATGTATAAATTGAGACGAATTTGACAAGATTTCACATGGCTATATTTTGATCAACATATATATTTAACAAAGAACGGAACCTCCCATGCATAAATCAACTAGATCATTTTTAGCAAACAAGACACCTTGAGTGAGGGGGAGAAGGTAAGGAAATCCCCACCCTCCCAGTCGACATTATTCACGTTATTGAAGAATGATCCCGGTTTTTTTTTTTTGAAGGAAGAAGGTCCCGGTCTTATAAATTCCTACTATATATAAACTCTGTAATGCTCCGTATATTTGTAAAATTTACTTTTTCTAGTACAAGTCCTTGTATTTACTTTTGTTCAATTACCAAATTTACCACATTGCCACACAGATATTTTTTGCTCATAATCTAGGTAGATGCACAGAATCTACCATACTTTTTGTTTATTTTACTTTGGGAAAAAAGTTGGTCCTACTTGAGGAAAATTTCCTACAAGGCAGAAATAATACAAGTATTTTTTTTATTTTAAAAAAAAAAATAGAGGGTGGTAGGTGTGAGATTGACCGAACCACCACATTACACGCACACATTCACCAATCCACCCTCTTTTTTCTCTCTCCTCTTTTATATATAAACCCCTTCCCTTCTTCCTTTACCCTCAGCTTGCAGTTCCTTTTTTACAGAACTTCAAGCTTTTTTTTATAAACAATTATAAAAAAAAATATTCATTATACGAAATATAAACTGCACATTACATTATCTTTACATTTTTAGTATTTTTAGCACTGTTATTATTCTCATTTTCATTACAACAAAATCGAAATCAAACAAAAAAATCGGCGAAAATGCAGGCGCTATCTCCGTCACCAACCACCACCGGTACACCAAACCCACTCCGAACTCGTCAACCCACCACCACAACAACCCGACTCAGTTTCCACCCGAGTCAACTCACTATCCGATGCTCCGCCTTCGGTCGAAACGGCGCCGTTTCCGGCACACGTGCCGACTGGCAAAGCTCATGTGCAATACTCGCTTCTAAAGTCCTCTCCTCCCAACAAACTCCGGCCGCCGGAGACGGCGGCGCCGGCGAAAAACCCGACGAAATCACCACCGTGAACGGCCACAAAACCCTAAATCTCCTCCCAATTGTCTCAACCGCCGCCGCAACAGCCGCCGCAACAACCACCAACAACCTCCCGAAACCACTTTCTCTCTCCACCGACTTCTCCCCTGCTCCAATGCACGGCTCCACTCTTCGCGTCGCTTACCAAGGCGTTCCCGGCGCGTACTCCGAAGCCGCCGCCGGAAAAGCCTACCCTGGTTGCGAGGCCATCCCTTGCGATCAATTCGAGGTCGCGTTTCAAGCGGTCGAGCTTTGGATCGCCGATCGTGCTGTTCTTCCGGTGGAGAACTCTCTCGGTGGTTCGATTCATCGGAATTACGATCTTTTGCTCCGGCATCGGTTGCATATTGTTGGCGAGGTTCAGCTTCCAGTGCACCATTGCTTGTTGGCGTTGCCTGGGGTTCGGAAGGAGTATCTCACGCGCGTTATTTCGCACCCTCAAGCGCTTGCTCAGTGTGAACATACGTTGACCAAGTTAGGGTTGAATGTTACTAGAGAAGCTGTTGATGATACTGCTGGTGCTGCTGAGTATGTTGCTACCCAGAGTTTGAGGGATACTGCCGCTATCGCCTCCGCACGCGCTGCCGATCTTTACGGCTTGCAGGTATTGTCGCGTTACCCCTATCTTTCCGTTGTTTTATTAGTTGACACGTTTTGACTTTAAACATGATTCATTTAATTATATTTTAATGAAAATGGAGTAAGTTGTTGAATAATTGAGTGCCTAATGTTGAATAATTGAAATTATGAATGTAAATGTTAGCTTGTTAGCGTAGTGAAAGGACTATCATTATCAAATAATAAGAATTTAGGTAGGAGTATGATGTTTTAAACAAGATTATTATTGATTAATTGTCAAAGGTTAATAGCATGTTGTTATGATTAATTTACTTAGGGAATTAAAATGAAATTAGTCATGTGTGGTAAGGGAGCCAACTACCATAGAATTTTGTACTTGTGGGTGAAGGTGAACCATGTGTTTTGCTTTTGTTCTATTATTGCCTTAATTGTAACACATGAACTTGTTCTTTTCACTTACTCCGTACGAAAAAGGAAAAAAAAATTATAATCATTGAAGTTTGCTATGATTATTAAGTTTAGATTAGTTCAAATAAGAATCAATAAAAACTTACTCTGTACTTAATAGAACAAAAAATTGATAAGCAATTCTAGATGTTTTTGTTTAATAAATAGAATGATTTAATACAGAATTACGTGTGATTTTGTCATCAATTCCAAACTTTAAGACGTTTTGGAAAATTTACGACCTTTGGGTAATTTGGTTAATGCTCGTGCACCACTCTAGCACGTTTACTAGTTAAAATAGACTTTATTTTGATTAGAGGTAAAAAAGAATTTTAGGGAACACCTTTCGTCATCTACGTTGTATTATAATTGACCAACCATACTGTTAGACTATGTCTCCAACTACTTAGTCTACTATGTACAAGTTTTATTTATTCATATTTATGCAAATTGGCAATCATTTTCGTAAAAGAAAAAAATTAGTTGTTGAAAAATTGACACTAATTTTTCTATATTTAACAAGTAGACTTGCCCCCACGTATTTTGGCATCTAATTGATTAAATTCAAAATAGAAATAAAAATTAAAAGAATTCCTCAATGAATAATAGTTCGATTAATAGTAGTGGATGCATTTTAGCCATGACAGATAGACAGATACCGATTGCGCATGTTACCTTTCTTACCAAACGCTCCAAAAAAAATACAAATTAAATTTGGTTGATCAGAATTGACCTACTAAAATTATTTATTAATCATGTTATTAATTTAATTTTGTCACATGATACAGATATTGGCTGATGGTATACAAGATGACTCTGGAAATGTGACCCGGTTTGTTATGTTAGCCCGGGAGCCGATTATTCCCCGAACCGACCGGCCTTTTAAAACAAGTATTGTGTTTGCAACCCATGACAACGGGGAGGGTAAGGGAACCTCATCCTTATTCAAGGTTCTTTCGGCGTTTGCCTTTAGGAACATTAGCCTAACAAAGATTGAGAGCCGGCCCCACCGCCACCGGCCTATTAGGCTCGTGGACGATGCCAATGTGGGGACGGCTAAGCATTTTGAGTACATGTTCTACGTTGACTTCGAGGCGTCTATGGCCGAGCCAAGAGCTCAAAATGCCCTAGCTGAGGTTCAGGAATTCACTTCATTCTTAAGGGTTTTGGGGAGTTATCCTATGGATATGTCACCGTGGTCGCCGTCGCGTTCGGATGATCAATAATGATTATGGTAATATAAACAATAATTAGTGCTTTTGTGTTCATAATCTTTCTTCATCCGCCACAAGATGGGAGAGGATGAAAGAATTATGTAAGAAGAGAGAAACGAAAACTGTTTATTTTGTTTAATTTTGTCCTTGAAAACAGGATTATTTTATTTATTTAGATATAAATAGATTATTTAGAATTGTTTATATTTTTAATTTCTTGGAATTATTTTAATTCCTTGGTGAAAAGGATGGAGTAGTGGTGGACCAGTTGATGATGGTGGAAATGGTTGGTGAGACTAAGAAATGTACATTTAGAAGATGGTGATTGTGATCACGATGTACCACGTTCTTTTTTAAATATGTTTTTTTTTTTTTTTCACTTTTCTTTTTTGAAATTATATAAGTATGTAAATATATTTTTGATTTATGACCCACAAAATCTCATATTCTCATTTCAATTTCAATGCATCTATAACTTGCTTTTTCTAAGAAGAAATGATCAAGTAATTTTACGCATGTATGTTTGCCTTTTCTACCAATATTGTCCCTCAATTTATGTGAATTACTTCAATTTATGTGAAATGATTCATTAGAAATGGTATCATTATAAGTTTATAACTTATTGATGAGATTCGACTGGTATTTCTTCTCTAACTAAAATGTGATCCGGGTTTGGGATCTTGATTGACGGTCTCACTCCAACTAACTTATGGTTAACCAATTAGAAGTAGACCCTCAATTAGTAAAATGTCACCCGATTACAAATTATGAATCACACACGAGATACACACAATACTTATCAAGTTAATGTAAGAAAATCTTGCCTAATAACTATGTTAGTTAAGGCGGATTCCTTACGGCGTAAGTGCGTTTGTCTGAAAAGTATAGATGACTATATTAATAACTTGCTATTGTGGTGAAGAGTCGACTATAATAAGGTCATGTCTAGTTCATCTAATTAGAAATGAATTTTTCTAATTTAATGTATGATTTTTTTTGGTTCTTATAATCACATTTAGTTTTGTTATTGGATATTTAGATTTAATTTTGAATCTTTGATCATATATGTACATTGACAAACTATTAAAATAAGATTTTCACTGTAATTGTATTTTGTATTAATGTGTACTTTCTACTGTGAAATTTTTTTCATAATTTTTCTAATCACAGAATTACAGGCATTACAGCTGATCATTTATTGTCAAGAGGAAAATATCAGCACAATGCTTGCGGATATACGCTAGCATATACCGTATAGCGGTATAGGTACGTGCCAAAATTTTAACAAATTAATAAATTATCTTGGTATTGGGATTTACTTGAGTGAACACCATAATCTATGGGTCTATTTGGCACTTTCATAAGTATAATAACAATGGTCAAAGAATATTAAAGATTAGATGAATATATATTCTTTGTTTTAGATATTTTGTTAGCCTTAAAGAACTGAAAGCAAGATTAATCAAGATTCAAGACTTGTCATGACATCATCAGCGTTTAGCAATGTAGTAATGAAGTTTCTTTCAAAAAAAAATGTAGTAATGAAGTTAGCTTTTAGAATGAAAATGCTAAAATTATTAGATTTTGCCAAAATTTAAATGTTACTTCAACAACTTATGTGTTTTGACGAACAAGGCCTACGACCCGTTTTTTTTAACAACGCTAATTTGATCGTTGATTTTATATTCGACTCCTATTATAAGGGAGATACTTATAGAATACTGAAGTGTGGATTAATTTACAATAATCAAATGATTATGGTTTAGTTATATTGTTAGAAATAACCTACATTTGAGTTGGGATGTTGTCTAACATTGAAAACTTAGGAGACCTTAGGGGGCCTTTAGTTTGCAGAGTGGTATGAGTTTGGAATTGGGAATGAGGTTAAGGTGATATCAGGTTGAAACTTGATACTCCGTATCTAATAGCATGTGTTTGGTTCAATTTTGGAATGGTATCTCATCCCCTTAATACCATGTATTTGATATCAAAGGAAATTAAATGAGCCAAACTCACCTCCCCCAAAGATTTCTAAACCCCATACCTCATGGATTTAGGCCTTGTTTGGCAAATGGCTGATGGCTGGTTCACTTGGCTTGTTTGACCAGTTGGAATGTTTGGTTGTTTATAATGACTTTTGAAATTGGCTGTTTAAGCTGACTGTTTATAAAAGTATTCGGTAACTTAATTGTTGGTTGTTTATTACGAGTAGATAATTTGTGGGCCAACAAGCAAAAAGCCAACAAAAAAAACTGCTCAAACAGTTTTTTCATTTTGGCTTAAAAGCCAGTTTTTTCGCTAACTAAAAAGCCAATTACCAAATACATTTTTTGGCTGCTTGACCACATAAAAAAGCCAAAAGCTAACCAAAAGGCCATCAAAAAGCCATTTACCAACATGGCCTTAAGGTATGGGTTTAAAATTCAGACTTTTGACAACCAAACATATGGTATGGGTTTTAGTCAACCTAAACCCATACCTCATACCTATACTCCGCAAACCAAACGCCCCTTAAGTAACATACAATGATACAAGGTTACATTAATTTTAGATATAAGCCCGACTTACCGAGCTTGAACATGTTTATTACCTCACTCAACTTAATCTTCTATTAACTTATACTAAAAGCGAATAAGCAATGATACCTATCATTAACTTGAGAAAAAAATTTCCAGCCTTTTTGCTTTTTTTTTTTTTGGCAAAATCTTTAAGTAAATTATTTATACCTTATGATATTTTATTTCTAGTGTTGACAATCATATTCCATATATACTCTAATAAAATATTTCTGTATATCATTTATATACTTTATATTTTGTACCATTTTTGTCAAAATTATTTAACAACCGTGCATTCCACTGAATTTTAACCTAGTGTATAAATAAAAGTTTAATGTTACCTAAGTTTGCCCCATATATAGATTAAGTAAGGGGTTCCTAAAGTGATCTAATTTGTTTTCTGAGGATCGGATGAAGTAAACGTGGCTAGTTTAAATCATTACTACAAGTCTCCAACATAAAAAATATTTAGTGCCAAAAACTTTCATTTAAAATATTGTCACATACATCATTCTCAACACTTTCACACTCACCCAAAGATACTAAGTTAGGGAAACACAAAATTTCTCTGATAGCAACATACAGAGGAAATCTTTTGTAGGAAATGTTATTAGCTGTGGTTTTAGAATTAGACGAAAAAAAAAAAACAAAAAAAACGAAATAAGGCCCCGTTTGGTTTAATGTAAAACATTTTCAATGGAAAATTAGTTTTCATGGAAAACATATTTTCAAGGAAAAACACAATTGCAAATTAGTTTTCTATTGTTTGGTTGCCTACAAGAAAAGTCCAAGAAAAATAAAAAATAAGAGTGGAAATGTAGGGATGAATGAGAGGGAAGTAAAAAAAGAGGTAAGGAGGAGAGAGGAAAATGTGGCTTCCCTTGTTTTTGGAAGGAAAATGTTTTCCATCATTAAAGATGAAATTTTCCACCCTTGAAAAATTGTTTTCCACTCCTTAACAAACCAAACAAAGGAAAATGGGAAAAAAATGGAAAATTCATTTTCCATGAAAACCTTTTACATCAAACCAAACAGGGCCTAAGGGTGTAAATGAGTCCAGCCAAGACTACTCCAACAAAAATATCTTGTGACGACTATATTGTCAATTATTCCCACATCGTATGTAACTTGATTTGCCCTTAAATTCTTCACTTTGACGAAATGACCTACCAATACTTACCACTAATTAATTCCCAACCAATTTTGTAAACTAATACACATGTTCAAAATTTTCAACATCAATGTATTCTTTTGGACTGGTTAATTATATTTTTATTATATAGCTTAGTATGGTTGGCAAGAAGCTTAAGCAAGTCTCCTTGCATTGTTACATAATTAATGTTTTATTCATAACTCATTTTTGAATGTATTAAAATATTGGCCAATTTGTTAACCTTTCTTCCACATATATTATTTTTTTTTTTTTGTTATTTTTTAAAGGTTTTTAATATATGAATGGTATATTGGTATGATTCAATTTCAATGTGAATGACATGTCAAACAAGTCGTGTGGAGAAATACCATATTAACCATACATCCAACTACTTGGCTTTTGGATTGTAGTATGTAATCTCATCTGATATGACTTATAAATGCAATATAAATAATATGATGCATGAATATTTTCTTGATACATATGACTACTCCATCTGGTTTTAAATACTAGTTCTATTTCTTCATGCGTAGGGTTTTAGGAGAAATTGGAGAAAGTAATTAAATATGGAGGTAATGGGATAGGTGGAAGAATAAAAAATTGTAAAAAGCAAAAGTAGTGAAGAGAATTGGAGAAGAGAAAATATGAAAAATGGAGCAAATATTTAAAAACGGATGGAGTATATGTTATACGAGTATGGCTTAAAGTGAGTTGTGACATAATCCTTCATAAAAATAAAAGATAAATGTTGAGAGTGGGATTTGAACCCACGCCCTTTCGGACCAGAACCTTAATCTGGCGCCTTAGACCAACTCGGCCATCTCAACAAGCTGATACAATTTGCAAAATTAAATCTTAAAACCTCTATATCTATCACCCATTGCAAAATTGCAATTAATATTAGACTTGAAACGTATTACAGTACTACGTATTACTCTAATGAAAAGTTAAGATTGAAGACTAAAGAGGAGATTAATTAGTGTAGATACATTTAATTGTAGATTTGAATCATGTGATACTAGTATTACCTTCTATAACCGGTTACTAAATTAAAAAAGTTTGTCAACCAATTTCCACTTCTCTTAAAAAAAAAAAAAAGGGATTTTCATTTAATAAATGGAGAGAGGGTTATTTTGCAAAGCAAAGTTTATCAACTAGTTTTGTGTCCCATGTTCGGGTTATTTATTATTGAATTTTAAGATAAATTTTCATCTAAATATCATATTTTAAATTGTATCATTGACACAAAATTATTAATTAGAAATTGACGTGTTTTTGTGACGATTTAAACTATGTAGTAAGCATGTAATGACTAATAATAATATTGATTAAAATGTTCGATTAAATACATAAAAAAATAGCAAATTAAGAATGAAATATTAAAATTTCTAAAATTAGCAAAAAATAAATAAAAAAATTATTCTGAGCCTGTTGGGTTAGCTCGAACCCACAACTTTGGGCTAAGATTGAATATTTTTTTACCCATAACCTGAAATGACTATATTCAAAATGACTCATTACCCGACTCAGTTGATATGTCCACACTCAATATTAAAATTATATCATATTGCGAAGTATATTAGTTTAATTGATTAGAATATATTATAAATGGATATTGTACATCATTTTGAACTATTTTCTTTGCTCCTAAAAATATTATGATATAAAAAATAAATTTAAATGATATAATTATTAAGAGTATTAATTTTATACTTTTTTGAATAAAATTATAATTTAATATTTATGA